TGGATTCTACAAGCCACAATCTATAAGAAAATTTTTGTTTTCGGGTCGATCTGAGACAATTTTTTTTTTCGGGGCTCAAAAAAAGGCAGTGTATAACCTTCCTTTTTTACCAAAAATCGACTGCACCAAACTTTCTCGGGAAAACACTTTTTCTTATTAATTTTGGTGCGTAGAATCCAAAACAATTCGTACTTTTTCGATCAGACTTCTCAATCAAAAGTTATAGAGTAGAACCAATTTCGAAAGAAAATTCAAAGGGCTGTAACTTTTGAACTAGTAGCCCAATCTGGGAACTGTTTGAAATTATGGATTCTACAGGCCACATTCTATAAGAAAATTTTTTTCCGGGTCGATCTGAGACAATTTTTTTTTCGGGGCTCAAAAAAAGGCAGTGTATAACCTTCCTTTTTTACCAAAAATCGACGGCACCAAAATTTCTCGGGAAAACACTTTTTCTTATTAATTTTGGTGCGTAGAATCCAAAACAATTCGTACTTTTTCGATCAGACTTCTCAATCAAAAGTTATAGACTAGAAACCAATTTCGAAAGAAAATTCAAAGGGCTGTAACTTTTGAACTAGTAGCCCAATCTTGGAACTGTTTGAAATTATGGATTCTACAGGCCACATTCTATAAGAAAATTTTTTTTCCGGGTCGATCTGAGACAATTTTTTTTTCGGGGCTCAAAAAAAGGCAGTGTATAACCTTCCTTTTTTACCAAAAATCGACTGCACCAAAATTTCTCGGGAAAACACTTTTTCTTATTAATTTTGGTGCGTAGAATCCAAAACAATTCGTACTTTTTCGATTAGACTTCTCAATCAAAAGTTATAGACTAGAAACCAATTTCGAAAAGAAAATTCAAAGGGCTGTAACTTTTGAACTAGTAGCCCAATCTTGGAACTGTTTGAAATTATGGATTCTACAGGCCACATTCTATAAGAAAATTTTTTTCCTGGTCGATCTGAGACAATTTTTTTTCGGGCCTCAAAAAAAGGCAGTGTATAACCTTCCTTTTTTACAAAAAATCGACTGCACCAAAACTTCTCGGGAAAACACTTTTTCTTATTAATTTTGGTGCGTAGAATCCAAAACAATTCGTACTTTTTCGATTAGACTTCTCAGTCAAAAGTTATAGACTAGAAACCAATTTCGAAAGAAAATTCAAAGGGCTGTAACTTTTGAACTAGTAGCCCAATCTTGGAACTGTTGAAATTATGGATTCTACAGGCCACATTCTATAAGAAAATTTTTTTTCCGGGTCGATCTGAGACAATTTTTTTTCGGGGCTCAAAAAAGGCAGTGTATAACCTTCCTTTTTTACCAAAAATCGACTACACCAAAATTTCTCGGGAAAACACTTTTTCTTATTAATTTGGGTGCGTAGAATCCAAATCAATTCGTACTTTTTCGATCAGACTTCTCAATCAAAAGTTATAGACTAGAAACCAATTTCGAAAAAAAATTCAAAGGGATGTAACTTTTGAACTAGTAGCCCAATCTTGGAACCGTTTGAAATTATGGATTCTACAGGCCACGGGGCTCAAAAAAAGGCAGTGTATAACCAGAGGCGGACTGGCACGGGGGGCGGGGGGCGATTGCCACCTAGCCTGTAGATCATAATGGCCCGTTGGAAATTTATAAGTATGTGCTGTATTTAGTTTCTTGCACTATTAATAAATTATTAACACGGTTCTCTAATTGGAGTTGATGTTAGGTTGTTAAAAAATTCTGCTTTAATTGAAGTGTTTTACAATGAATTTATCATTTTTTGTCGTAGCATGAAAGTGCTGAAATACAATGATAGGCGACGTACCTCGTGTGGATTGTGTATTTTGTTACTTTTAATTATCAGCTGCAATTAAAAAAAAACTGTATGGTAATTTATTTTCGAGAAAGGAGTACTTTAAAATGTTTTTGTGGTGCACCTCAGAGCTCCCCCCCCCCCACCTTCATTACTACACTAATACTTTAATGGCCCGTAACCTATGCAATTCCACCTGGCCCGCAGTTACTCAGTCCGCCCCTGCATTACACTCAGCAATTTTGGCGTTTTCTAATTACAAATCATTATACATATTTCCACAAAATTTCGCGGGCGTTAAATAGATGTCTACTCTCGATGAATGTTCAAGCAAAAGGCATTTTAAATATGTTTCCAACTTCGTCAATACTCCTTTTAGGTGTATGTTTAATGAAACTCTTCAGTTTATATAAACTGTTGTATTTGAGGAAACCGTATCATTTTGGTTTTGGTTTTACATCAACAATAAATTGATCAATTTCTTGTTCAAGTCCTTTGGACAAGAAAACTTTACGAGTGTAAACACAGAATTGGATGCAATAACTTGATCAATTTCTTGAGCTTAATTTCTTGTCGGGTTAGTTCTATTTTTCTGCCAATGTTTACGTCAATTCAGTAGTACCAACTACCAGCAACCAACATAATTAATAAAATCATGGTTTTCATTATTTTTATGAGCTAATCTTCTATTCAAGAGAGAGGGAAAGTGAAACATTTTTACAGTTTTCACTTGTAAATGTTTTGTATGGGTATGAATTTACCAGGTTTTCCGAGTAGAAAAAAAGACAGTGGTGTCGCGTCTAGTGTTAATAATAATAATAATAATAATAATAATATTATTTATTGCCCAACAGAATCAAATTCCAATTATAGGACAATTACTAATCTAAGAAAGCACAATAACTAAATATACTAATGTCTTAACCGCTAACCTAATAAAAACCAAATTAAATGATATTAAACTTAAAGATTAAAAATAAGATTAAAATAAGATTAAAAATATTCCATCCATCCAGTGTTGATTGTACCGTACTCTACTGCAATCGGTAGGTTCAGGAAAAGTCGCGGATACTGCCGATACGGTACTTACTTAACAGTTTTGTTAATTTGAATTGAAAATTCTCGTACATCGCCCGTGATAGTATTACAGTGGAGCAAGATTATTCCGTGTGAAGGGTTATTTATGACTTTATAGGTTACACGGTTATCATTTCCAATGTCTCCGATGGTTGCAAGGATTGCGAAATCTGTGAATTTTTTTTCTATACAATTAAAAAAACCCAACCTTAAAATAATTAAAGGTTAGTGAAATTGTACAATGAATTTAAAAACAACAAGAAATTGATCCAGTTAACAGCAGTGTAAAACCAAGAAACTTGAGCAAGAAATTGTTCAATAAATTGAAAAATAACTTCATGAAGTAGGTAATTGATGAAGAAATTGTTGATGTAAAACTAGCTTTAGACCTCCAATCCTCAAGGTAGCGTAGAACCCAACATCGAAAAAATAACAAAGTTAAGCATTGTGAAAATTTCATGCGGATTGTTTGTCGGTATACATGCATCCATATTCATAATAGTTTCACGTTGGCATTACAAAATGTACCTACATTTGCTGAACACCAAACAGTAATCAACAGTAATTAAAGTGGATCTCTGTATTAAGTTTTTCGAACTTTCTGTCTTATTGTGGAGGAAACTTTCTCCCTCCTACCTAGGTATACATTAACGTTCAATTTTGAGTTTTAACACAGGCTGTACTATGGAAATGTTGTACCAACATATAGTATTTATGCAATGTATTACTACGGCACATCAAAAATGCCTTTCCAATATTCTCTATAATTTTGAAAGTGTACAATTTTAACGTAATTAAGCGCAAACGAACTTCTACTTGACAGGATAATTACAAATATAAATATAAATCTAAATAATTAGAATTCCGATTCGTTTTACGAATACGTATATTAACGTGTCTACGAAGTTTTCGAATTGTTCACCCATAGCATGAACATTACCTACTCGATTTTCACTGGTACAATAAAATTTTCCAAGTCAGGGTCGTTATTGTTAATAACAATTTAAGTAATCATGCGACACATTCAGTATGTTATATGTGTGTCGTACGAACAATATTCGAACTAGGTTAATCCGTTAGGGGAATGTATAACTGTCGGTGTAGAAACTTAGGGGTGAGCTAGTATCATTCTAGCGTTGTAAAACGTTTCCATTTAATACATGCGGTTGTGTTTCGAATTCAGATGTACCCCAACGCGATATGCAAACGAAGTTGATAGCGAAAAGGAGTTTTTCATCGATATTCAATCACTCGCTACGATATGGAATTAATACATACAAATAGATACCTACAGAACTACAGAAACCGATCAGTTGTAAATATTTATTTCGTACTTAAAAACTATTGCCATTAAACCAATTTAATTTATATTATTTATTATCCCGCATAATGCTTTTTAAAACTAATTTCCGATGTTAAATCCTTACCGTGCACCACCTGGTATAATGTCAAGAGGTGAACAATCACTCGCTCTAAAAGTAGGTACTCAAATCCAGAATAGAATAAGAATTTGAACTTTTTCTTTAATAAACGATATGGAACTCAACATGTTCATCGGCTCCTAAAATATAGGACGGCAAACCTTGATCACGCCCCGGGCGTCAACGAGCTACGCTACACCACTGCTGCATACCAATAAATCATGTTTATAAATAATTTGAGACACCGCTTCCTAAAAAGCTATGATTTCTACTATAATAACTGTCTCGAAGAAATTAAAAGTAGCGCGAGTATTGCGAATAGCTATACTTTATCAAAAACCGACCGACCGTCCGTTCACACGATTTCTCAAAAACACTCAAAATTGTTGCTCAAATAGGAACAAGTGATTAGATTTTGGGCGTCGAGGATCAAATTCCCTGGGACAGGGTCAAACGTCAAAGACATTTTTACTGGAAACACTTGGTATGCGTTATATTTTTAGAAAGGTAAGCAAATATGGGGTCTTACATGTACCTTTGAGGCACAAAACTCATGATTCACCCATTTTGCATAGGTTTTTGTAAACAATTATGGAGAAACTCAAAACAAAGGTATTCTATCTTTACTACCCATCTTACCTTTTCGCTTTTTAGTGCATTTTTTTTAAGAATAAAGAAAAAAGTACTATTGTTTGCCTTTTATCCGTCCGTCTGTCCGTCAAAATTTGGATTTATTTTTGTAAATATTTTGATATGGAAAGTAGCAATTAATTAGCAAATAAAAACTGTATCGATTTATGAAGAATTTTCTCTGGTAAAGAAATTTTTGTCACTCCTTCTTTAATTTTTCATGTGAACTATGTCAAACACATGTCGTCACGTAACTTGAGACATACTGCCATTAGGGATCTATCATAAAAACGGAATTCATTTTAACAAAAATTAGAGCCATGAATTGTAAAAACTCTACGTTGTGATGGTTCTAGATAGCCAAAAGCTCGTAATATAATCTTTCATTTTAAACCTTAAACATTTTTGTTGAACGATGTGCATTTTCCCTAGTGAATTTCTATTATAACAATTGTTGTTGACCGTTGCATTTTATTAAAATTCGATTAAGCTGTCACTGATTGTAGTGAATCGTTATCCAGGTGTTACTTACATTTTCTTTTTTCACTTCTTTCAGTTGGGCTGGCCTAATTTCCGACAATTTAATATTAAAAAATGACCTTAAATTGAAATTTGAAAAAAATTGAGCTGAAGTTTTACGTGCAGCACTCAACTGCTATACTTCTAGATACATTTCTGAATATTATCTTTCATTAAACGAGAACGAAACATTCTGAAGCAGGCTTTGCGAAATAGCAAAGCTTTTAAACTCCACTTTGTTTTCAAAAATCGAAAGCTTACTTGCGGTTAAGAAATAAAACTTCATACGACACATAATCTTCCAAAAACTGAACCTACCACCAAGAAACTCCCAACAAACATGTCATCATAAAAAAATACAGTAGTTAATTTTTACAGCCAAGCAAGTATATTATGGACCCGCATATTGTATAATTTACTAGCTTTTAGCTAATATTTTAATAGTAGACCTCTATGTGTATCATTACTCATTAGTATTAGTTTAGTAAAAATGTACTCCGATGCTCTTTGCCATAAATGTGAGGTAGTGGTAATGAAATCCACTGAGAACATTACAAACTTACACATTAATTTCCTGATGTATGCATACTGCAATCCATTACACTTCAAATACCTAGTTAAATTTGGTAGAATTGTATTTCGTCCTTAACTTTCCTTTTCACAACTAAAAATTTGAACTATAGACAACGCATTTCGGTTTAATCATCGAGAACACCCCGACGCTATCATACCGTAAATCTAAAGCAAGTTCATTCCGTGTTTAAATTCCTACATAACCTAACGACAGTGTTTCGGCGAACCACGCACCAAAACCCTTTGATCTCCATAATCACTCATCTCAGTATTTGTGTCTTGATTTTTACTTCAAATTTCCGTGAGTCCACTCTTTACACTACAATAAGTAAACATTTTGTATTTGAACTCTACTTTTTCTATAAAATATAGTAAGTTTTGTATAGGAACACATATTAAAATTCTGTAAATACCATAATCACTCACATCCGTATTTTTTTCTTCACGCACGTTCATCCTTTACAATCCACCATGAAGTCGTCCTTACAGTAAATTTTGTATAAGCGAATCCCATAATCACTCACGTCCTTATATTTTCCTTCACACCTTATTTTACATTTCAATGACTCCACCCTTACACTCCAACAGGTAAACATTAAACATTTTGTGATAGGATACTGTTAACGGTACAGGGGGTTAGTAGTTTGGGGTAAAATTCAGAGATAGATGTGAAATCTTTACTCCCTATACTCCCGCAATACAAATTTATATAAATCAGAAATCTGATACAACTGAATAGGTACTGAACGATTCTCGAGTTCGTTTTTGGGCTGTAACTTTGTACTGTTACGGCCTGATGTGTACCAATTTTCAGAGCGATCGGACGTTTTTAAACACAGTTATCGTGCATACTGACAGACGGACGAACAGACAGCAGTACAATGTTATAAACGATTTCGGGAATCGTTAATAATTGTAAATTTACGTTGATATGAAATATGGCCTTGGCGGACGGTCGGTTAACTAATAAAAGTAAATGATATAACTCAAGAACATATGTGAAATGTGCAAGGACATACGGTTCAATTTTTCGGGAAACAATCTTGTTGCCCTGGAATGCTCGTCTTCTCTTTTTTCTTGGATAATGTAAAGTTGCGGGGATAGTTGTTAGCACCCTTGCAACATGCAACTATAAAGCTTCCGACGGGCGGTGATATTTTTCCTTTTTTTCTGGCCCGTCAGGTGGTGAAGGCAAAAGGCCTTTCTTTCTCTGATCACAAAACCAGGAAATTTCTTTTTCCTCAGTGCAAGGTGTTGTCTCCAAAACTTTTACAATTGCGTTTGCGCGAAGGGTGGTCAGGTAGAGTCAAGCATTACATGGTGGCATTAATGGCATTAATTTTCCAGGGACGAACATGTACCGTATAATACGAGTATGTCAGCTCCAATTTTTACGTAAAATGATCAAACCGTTCTTATAGTAAGTTGTTTATAAGAACCACTCATTAAAATTCTATTAATCCCATAATCACATACCCCGATTCTTTTATTAATTATATAATATATTATATGTTATACGTTCGTTGTTATAGTAAAGTTTGTCTCCAAAACTTTTATTACTATACTACTATAAGAATCACTCATTACGACTCTGTGAATCCCATAATCACTATGACCTCCGTGTATTCCTTCCTTGACTTTTTATGTTACCTTTCCATGAGTCCACCCCTTACACTACATCAGATAAAATTTGGTGATAATCTACCTCATATTTGATCTCTAAACCAATTGACACCTAAATATACAATTCTACCAAATTTAATCATTTGAATTGTAAGGTCTGTAATACCTACTACGATAGTATATGCATTTGTACATACGTACATGTGCATTCCATTATGTAATACATAATGTACGTAAGGGAATTAATGTGTTCGTTTGTAACGATTTTATTATATGATATCCATTATTCTTTTGCGTACAGATTTATGGTCAAGAGCGCAATACATTTTTATTAAATTATGTAATAGTAAAGGACACAAGGAAGTCTACATTGCAATATTAGCTATAAAAAAGATTAGCATGCCCTGCTGACTATAAATTGCCAACTTCTATTTTGTCGATGATACGTTTGTGGATAGTTTCTCGGCCCATTTGTCTGGCAGAAATGCAATACGCTACTATATTGTCGTCGGGCGGTTTCCTATTTTGGCGAAATGTAAGACCATATTAATGATTCTACAGCACGATAAGCTGAACATGTCCAAATCAATTAACCCGTTTGCGAACGTACATGTAACAGGCAGGTTCATATACGTGTCGATGTCATTATTTGTCACAATGCATTAAGAGATTGAGATGCGGTTCTTTCTCATAGAAAGTTAAAAAAAAGGTCGTAATCTAAACTTCCCAATTTTTATTCTTCTGTCAAACTGATAGGACAAGCTGAGGTGATAACATAACTAGCTCCCAGGTGACAATAGCACCCTGCGCATTTTAAATTTTAGAAGATATACGGTTTATATTACCCATATAATTCGCACTTTTCGATTTGGTGTTTCTAGATGTATACATCATACGCACCTTCCTATGCAGCTTTTATGTCAATCCAATGAGTCTCGCCTATTATATATACGATCATTGTTAATCGTTACAAAACTACTTCCGGGTAGGTAATCATTTCGGCGGTACACTTTTTTGGGGTGGTTAATTTATATGTTGCAAAATGATTGATGACGTGTGGAGTTTTTGTGCGGTTTAATATTTTATTTTGAATTTTTCTTTAGTGCGGTGGAATACCAAAATGTATGTGTATAGGAGTATAGGTAAGGGGAAATTTAAGTATAGACATATTGGTTTTGTAATAACGGGCACTTACGTATTCAAATTAGGGAAGGAACTAATGGCGTTTATATGCTCAGGGTTTTGTGTAAATAATGGAATGTAACATATAGACCACGAAATCTATATTTTATTATCATGGCATAATTCGCACAACCAAGCTCTATTATATTTTACCATGACCTTGTTCTAATACTGAATAGAATTTTCTATGGAATATTTTGTAAGCCAACTAATATACTTGTAACGATATTTTCACTAAAAATCAATTTTAGTATAACATGCAAATCATACAAAAATTTCAAGCTTCACACTCTGTTCGATACATGCTTTAGTTTTTACTAATGCTGGTAATTTTGTAAGTACTAGCTCGTTTATCGACTGTCTAAGCTAAGCACTATTCCCGCTATACAGAAAACACGAAATGGTAGTAATTTCAGTTCATATGCTACATATACATAGTACAGTTCATCAATAATGTACAGTAGGTAATATTACTAAAGCAAGCTCATGTGGAGATACTCGCTAATGATAAGGACGCGTGTCCTAGAAAGTAGTCGGTAGTTACATCCACATTATTATTAGGGATATTGTTTCTACAAATCGACAAAATCGTAGTCTAGTCACGATAGTGATATTAATGAAATTAGAAAGCTATTACACGACGCATATTTACAAAGCGTACATGTACCTACCTATACAGGACTAATTTAGCGAGATCGTTAAATAGAAAGGCCATTCATAAAATTGTAGGCGTTTCGTGTACAATTATGTAGACGATTATGTAACTGGACTAATGTCCCATCGCTTGAAGTGCACTGTATAGATTAACAGCACAATGCATGGGTTAGTAGCTGACCAGAGAAATATAATGGCACGACTGTCAGTAAAATGAGTTTAAAATGCAGCAGGGTGTTAGTGTTATTTCTCTGGTGTTGGGTGCAGTGTCCTTGGCGTCGTTTTATACTTTTACTAAGATGGCTGACTTTACAGAGTGCCTTCAGGATACCTCTACCAGTCTCCATACCTAGCAACAACAGCACCAGGTAGTTTAGTAACTGCGCTTCCGGCCACTCAACTTACTCATGCTGCCGCCGTTGCAGCTGCCACGACGCAGTTTTACGAGTACCAAAATGCCGCCGCCGTCGCCGCCGCCGCAGCCGCCCCGTACCCTAGTCAGTATGCGGGAGGTTTCGAAGCTTATACACCTTACACTGGTGCTGCGGGTACGTTATCTTAGGCATTAATTCTCGGTTGGTTATAATTGTCGCTTAGGCACACCTAGCTACATGCCTTATACATATGCTGCACTGCCACAAACACCAGGGCTATCCGCCGCCACGGCAGGTGCATTTTCAGGATTGCAGTATCCCACTGCTGCACAAGCACAAACCCTGCAGGATGCCAGATTGCAGTAAATAGGATTATTTAATAATGTTACCATTTTTTATAGTGTAGTTGCATTTTATATATATTGTTCAAATTTAAACCACTTTTGAATATTTGTTATACGTTTATATATAAGTACTTAAATTATTGAGACTAATATTTGAAATGTGTAAAACGTTGATAGCGAGTAATCATTTTGGTTTTCATAAGGGATCAACCTATCTATTTACAAAAGTTCGACAATATATGATCACTTGGTCCACAAATTTGAAATGGTTGAACAAAGTAAATGCCCTTTTCCTTTTATAGGGGAGTAAAACATGAATCGCATGTGGTGATACACTAAATGCTCAACTCTCAAAATGTGAAAACTTGGTATTTTCCATAAAAAAAAACTAATCATCGCCAGTTAAGTGAAAACGTTCTCACCATGGTACAATAACTACTGTAACATTAATAATGGATTACGATATACTTAAACTTAAAACAGAAACATTAAAACCTTGCATCCAAGAAATAAACTTTCGCACACAAGCTTTCAAGAAATCTATGTGGGGGATGGGGAGCTACCCCTCATAGATTTTCGTAACCATACGGTACAATTTTTTCCACCTAGATCACACGCTGAAAATAAATCACTGGCGGGGTGAGTGAAGTGGTGAGCCCCCTGCACTATGTTTTTGTAACATTTTATTGCACAAAAATAAGTTTATTATTTATTGTACTGGTATTTATTATAGTAACCTGGTGTTATGATCGATACAGGTACAAATTGTCTGTGATTATGTGTTCATTAACTATTGTAACACCTGATTATTATAATAAATTCATTACGCAGGGGTGCGGTGTAATCACTATCCATAAAAATAATAAACCCCCAATAGTGCAATAGTTTATCGTTTTGGTGCCGTACTTTATGTAAAGAAAAGTTTCTTGCAGGATAATACATCCTTTCCACGTTACGTTTTTAATATTTCTACAGAGTGGGTAAGAATTTATATTGTTCTCTCCAGTGTCGAGGTAATCCATCTCGGTGTAATTACAAAATTTTTTAAAATTTGAACGAGTTTACGAAGAGGGCCACTACAATTGGATAATGACAACCAAACTGCTCAGATTTACGAAGCCTTATCAGGGAATCGTTCGTATTAAAATAAAGATACGTGCAATATGTTCTGATCCTCTTACAAGATAAAGTTTACATACATTATTTTTGGAAACTTTGTGGAACCATTATTTACCTAACGGAATATCTAGTGGAAGATTATAATATTCTAACGATAATTAGTCAATCTAATAAGTCTAGTCGTAAAATATTTCTATATATTTAGTCAACTAAATATTATATTTATAGGTTTATTTTTAAATCCAAATTATAAGAGAAATGTTTATTATGCTGCATCTAATGCCGCATTCAGTGAGAATATATCTACTTGTATATATTACTCTCATATATTTAAAATTAATATATTTGTACTGTACAGTCATCACTTATATATAATAATAATTATTTTTGAAATTTTTAATTGTACTGCACAAACTTGCAATACTCTAGTTTAATAGCGGAAGATCCAGTTCGTTGTATGACGGTCATTAAAATGAAACAAATTTCTTAATGCAACAGGTGACAGTCAATTGCAAGAGTTTGTTCCAACTCTATAGCACAATTTTTTATTTAACTATTAAGCACTTATCGTAAAGAATATTTTGTAATACTTACTCAAATGTAACTTATATATATTAAATTATACTACTGCTCAACATTAGATAATACTAACGTATTTATTATGTAATTTAACATATTTTGATTCGAAAAATGTTCCTTATACTGGACAGGAAAGTGCATTAGTGCCTTCAAACATTTTTTAAAACTTGTGATATTTGCACATTAGCGTCGAATTCAGCATACAAATTGTACAAATTTACCATCTAATAGGAAATGACTAGATTGTACAATCCGTCCAGTTGATTAGTGCTTAAAGCTGGTTCTGCACAAATACAATAAGATTTTGTGGCATAATTAACTTATGTGCACAAATGCAATAAAATTGCTTTAAATTTCTTTCAAATACAGTTAATCAATGGCACAAAATTTTGTGGTAATAAATTTCACAGCGAATATCAAATTGATAATCGTGATATACGTTTATCTTATAGGTAGTACTTTATAAATTAGAATTAAGTTGTCTTTATTACTGATTTTAATAGTTCAAATATAACTTCTTTTCTTATGGCAATATTTTTATACAAGGTGAGTTTTTTTTCATTTCTACTGTCGAATCGGGATCTCGTGTAGCGTAAGAGATACACAGTCGATTAAATGGGCAAAGTTATGCGGAATTATGCTGATTAACTTTTCAAGGTTACTTGTAGCTCGTCAAATAGCGAAGTTATGACAAAAAACCGACAAATGTCATTCTCGAGAATGTTTTGACGTTCATTTATTTTCAAAGATATAAACAAATAATTTAAACAAACCATCAGTAATTTTTTCTTACCTTTCTGATGGTGCTAAAACAAAATTTTTATGACTAGTAGGTGTGCTTCGAGTAAACCACATCAGCTTTCTTATTTCTTATTGGATTTTACGTCACTAACGAAAAAAGTTAAATAATTTCAAGTAAGCTATGGAATTATTCCCATAAGAAATACTTTGAAAACAAAAATTTTAAATTCATTTTCAAATGAAATACTAAGCATTTATTGCCATTGGTTTTGTAATTTTTCCTCTATCGAGTGACATAACAATCCAATATGGTGTCTATAAGAACTTAGAATGTTGATGTGATTTATCCACAAGCTACAAAAATTTTACATTTTTCGGTTTTTGCCCACAACATCGCTATTTGTAGAGCTACAACACACTTTGAAAGGGAAAATTAATCAGCGTAAAATTCTGCATAACTGCCTATTTAAGCGACTTTGTATATGTTACGGTTTACGAAATCCCCCTAGTGAAAATAAAAAATACTCACCCTGTATATGTGTTTATGACCAAATATAGTGATATAAGATTTACTATTGTTTTCACAGAAGGACTTGTATAATCTGAATTAATAAAGCAACTCAATTTTTTTTAATTTTTATTACTTTATATCCTTGTATTCTTGCTTTGTAAATTTTTTTTAAATATTTATATTGTAATTTGTGACTTATGCAAGCAAGGTCTCCTCCTGTTTAACTATAAAAATATATATTATTATTATAATGAAGCTTACAGTTAGATATTTCACAACCGATCACTTGCCAATTTGTTACTAAAGCCGTCGTTTGTCGATCTGAATTCACCGCATCAGCTACAACTAAATTTCTATTTCCTACCAATTTTAGTATCTTTCTTTTTTAAAATTACACAAAGTTATGTAAAATATACCCGAAAGACCGAAAAGCGGCAGTGTTACAAGACTGGGCGTGCAGGTAGTTTAATCAGATTCGGGCCTCTTACCCAAACGATCGACCGCCAAGTCAAATTTTACATCAAAAAATTGTTCTAAGGTCATGCTAAACGACATTTAACGTACCTATTTATCCACCTCACAACATCAAACTCCTCTGGAAGATGTATTCATTGCTGTGTAAGTTCATCGAAATTTCTTTGATGTGTAGCAGTAGTTGGCATAATCTTTTGCTATTGAACAGAGATGTGCAAGGAATTGAACCTTCAAATCCTTATGGAGCTTGATATTACAAGATTTCAAGAATTGTTTCTCACGAAAAAGAAAGTAGTTCCGCTTTATTGGAGGTTTGTCTTTTCTTGTCGTATTCGTTTTCTCAGGTAATAACGTTGACTGTAGCAGTGCTGGCCCGAGTTGCTTTCCACGGGAAGCTGTGCACTTCTTTGTATGTGAATGATAGATAACGGTATCCGTTTTAAAGCAATATTATCACGCAGTGTGGTAGAGTATTGATGAATATCACGTCCTGTCTGGTAATTCAAATGATTATTATTCAAATGATTAAATTATACAATTTAATGTGTATACACGAGGGAGAGTTAAAATGCCATATTCGATAAATTTATCTTTACAACAGCTTTCTGTATCCCAAATTACCTACTAATAACGTGCATTGTACGTCGTTGCCGTTTACCTAATACCTGCCGAGTGACCCCATTCAATTATAGCGTAAATAACTGATGGAAGTCACCATATAGTACGTCATCAACGTCAATGCCTAATGGGCAAAAAGGTCTTGAATTTGAAGTAGTATTGCTAACCTTTTGCGCGTTAACTTCATATCCTCGGTGATGTTCTGAACTTCTCGTTCACCACAAATATTGTTTCGTTATCGCTGTACAATATGTGTCTTCGTGGGCTGAATATTCGGAAGGCAGCTATAAACGCCCGATGAACATGTTGATGACTACTTACTGTTTTTGTGGCAAAATACACGACAGCTTATGGTTGCTTTATAGGACTTGTTTGTATCCGCTTGTCTTGGTGATCTCGCAAAGAAAAACCGCAGGTTTCTACATTTTAGGCATTTGTTAAGTAGGTACGTAACGAACCGTATGATCGTATTTTTATCATTTTCAGGTTATCATTGAATAAGTCCAGGAATAATATTTTGCTTGATTGATTTGCTTGTTTTTTACTTAGTTCTGGGATTTTTTGTTTGAAGAAGGTTTCCTGGATTAGGTATCTCATCTCTACTTATAGAATTAGGTAGATGATAAAGCATCTCTCAATTCTGCGATGCTTGTTGCAGCAGGAAGCGTTTAAATCCGTAACAGTATGCTACGACCCTTATAATTTATGGTAAGAATGAAAATCTCAAAATGATATGATTTTTTGTTCTTGTCGCGGAATTTGCAACTCCAAAAAGTATTTAACATAAAAGAAAATATGTCGATTTATTTAATTTGTAGTTAATAGTGTAGTCAAAGTTCCGTGGATTTGTATAAAATTCAAAATAGTGCAGTTGATCTCCAAAATTACCAGAAATTATTCTTCTCTGAAGTAAATAATTTGTATGTAAAAAATTGTGGGATGGCGCCATCTTTAAGTAAGTATAATAAACTAGTGATGTAATCTGCACATTATATCTACTCTCGATCACATTAAAGGTTGCTTAGTGATAACAAATTAGTGCGACGAGCATGAGGCGAAATATTTTACCACGTTTACAAGGTGTTTTAAAGCGGAAATTCTCGCGAGTAAGCATAAAGTTATTGATGCATGTTTCCTATTTTGTGTTTAGGTGACGTCTACAGTCCGAATTGTCGAGGTCGGGCCACGAGATGGACTACAAAATGAAAGATCAATCGTACCCGCCGCCGTCAAAGTAGATTTCATTAATCAACTATCGCGCACTGGTTTAAAATGTATCGAAGTTACCAGGTACGTTTTGTGCAACTATTCATTTATAGTTGTTGCACTCCACATTACCCAACACTCTCTGGATTTTACACAAAGTCCGTGCGGAATAACTTTAAATGAATACAGAATAAACGATGCGAATACCAAAGTGAATAACGCACGCATTTTAGTTTTGTTAGCCCGAAATGGGTTCCGCAAATGGGAGATAATGCGGAGGTTTTTCAGGCCATTGAAAAAGTCCCCGGCATTTCTTATCCGGTTTTGGTTCCAAATGTCAAAGGTTTAGAGAGCGCTGTACGAAAAGCCCTTTGTTTGCTGCTTGTGTTGTTTGCTTCATCTTGAAGGTTTTAGATGAAAGTGGGAGTTAAGGAGATTGCCGTGTTTACGTCAGCTTCAGAAGGTTTCTCACAAAAAAACACGAATGGTAGCATTCAACAGGTGATAAATCGCACAAAAGATGTTATTAATGTTGCGAAAGATCATAGCATCAAAATAAGGGGTTACATTTCATGCGTTGTTGGCTGTCCCTATGATGGTTATGTTAAGCCATCGGCTGTCGCAAAATTATGCGAAACGTTACTTAGCCTGGGCTGCTACGAAATATCACTGGGAGATACAATAGGCGTTGGCACTACCAATTTAATGAAAGACATGCTGAAGGCAGTATTGGTAGTTGCCCCTAGTGACAAATTAGGAATTCATTGCCATGATACTTATGGACAAGCATTAGTAAATGTTTGCACCGCTCTGGAGGTAAGATAAGTACCTACTGTATAGAGTCGCTCATTAACACTATTTTAGTCTGGGATTACGGTAGTGGATTCAGCCGTTTCGGGATTAGGAGGTTGTCCTTACGCCAAAGGTGCATCCGGAAACGTGGCCACCGAAGATTTGGTTTACATGTTACAAGGCCTTGGAGTTCGTACGGATGTAGATCTGAACTCATTAATTGAAGTTGGGCAATTCATTTCCAAAACAATTAATAAGCCAACGAACTCGAAAGTGAATAGTGCGTTGTTTAAAAACTTGAATCCATAATTTCTGTATGAACAGCTTCCTGTATGCACGTTTGGTATTAAACCGTATTAAATGAAAGCGTTCTGTAATTTTCGGTAACAGTGGAGATTCCAACCCTCGCGACGTCGCTTTAACTCACCTGAAACTCACCCCAACTAAAAGCACCCCTGACTTTTATATCGCCAATAATATCGCGGTCCGTTAAAAATGGCCGAACACAGGACGGCTCACATTCACACAAAAAATAAAGGTGTTAACCTACATTTAGAATTATAGTCTTTGCACCAACCTCGCCATTGTAATTATTTCTTGTTTATGAAACTACGTGGGTGAGTGTTAGTGTAGGTGTAATTGCATAAGTATACAATTCTCACGTTAGCTTCAACATGAAGATAAATGCTACAAGAATGACGACTCCGATTGAGGAAAAGCTAGACCAAAAGCTGAAGGTACGCACAGGAATGGTTACAGTTAGTGACGGAAAAAGTAGACCAATTCCTGTGCAATTGCACCTATCGATGGAGGTATTGCGACTACAGAAAGAAGAAATTGTCCCACCAGATCCAAAACCCATAAACGGCAAGGTAAAATATCCTTTATCAAGTAAGAGATGCCGCTTAACAAATTCAATAAAAATTTGGTTTCCAAGGAGAGAATGGTGCAAATTAGACGACACAAAGTTGGGGGTCTTGGGTTAAGTATTAAAGGTGGAGCTGAGCATAAACTTCCCATATTAATTTCCAGAATATATAAAAATCAGGCAGCCCACTTAACTAAAGAATTATTTGTAGGAGATGCTATCATTAAAGGTAATAAGTCCTATTGTGTAAACCTATTACATATTCCTTCATTGCTAGTTAATGGCGAGTATATTACCGCATGTCCACATGACGATGCCGTCAACATTTTACGGAACGCTGGTGACTTGGTCGTCCTAACTGTGAAGCATTATCCGGCAGCAACTCCGTTTTTGCAAAAACAGGGTGAGAACATTTTCTAATAAAAAATAAAGTAGAATATCTATATTTTTTCCTCATTTATATAATAATTACAATTTAACCCCCTTCCCCCAACCCCTGCCTGTTGGATACGACTAATTACAAACCAGTATTTATGTATGGACGTCATTTTGACAAGACTCAACTCATATAAATCGCGTGACGTTAGAGATTTGATTTTAACTTTCTGTGTATATGCAATTTGTTGAAAGCATTTTAGAACTTGTTGTATGAAGTATGAAGTACGTAGGTATCTATTTTCTGTTCACGGCCGTTGGTCATTTTCAATCAAAAGACCGATCCACCCGTCCGAGCGATAATATATATAATATTTTTTTACAAAAGGTAGTGAACAAGTCTGACATTAAAAATACATCATTCCACGGTTTTTAAAGCTATCGATATCGAGTCGATGGCAATCGAAGCAGAACGTGCTGCTTTTCTCTTATCAACCGTTTTGGTTATGGAGAGAAAAACTGATAGCCTCACATACTTTTAGATCCGTACAAAGGAGACGGAGCCACGGAGCACAAGCCTGCAGATGTCATTCTTGCATCGTCTACGAGTTGCAATTTGTATACCTACGTTGCTCAGAAAATAAACTTTCATTTTTGCGATTGTTAAGGGTTTTAGGTCCATTTTTGTACACAATAAAAACTATTGTCTTCTAAAAAAAAGTTATTTTACTAGTTGTGATTTGTAGTAGTCGTTGCAGAAGTCAAGAATTGTTTTTTTGTGTGGGCGGGCAGCTATTTCTTTTCTAATTCGGATATAGCAATTACCAAACCGTTTATTCCCTAAATTGTCTTGGGCCATATCTCTGTTTCCGGTATAGTTAGGCGGAATATAAATCTTTGGATTCTACAAGTAAAAGTTTTTTACTCTACCGAAAAAATTCTAGCTGCAATACGTAGTGTGGAGCTGAGATCGTACATTAGAGTACCGTTGAGGTGCCAAAATTGTTTGACATTTGGACACACAGCGAATACATGCTATGGGGCACACATTTGTCAAGAGCTAAAGAATGCCCTGTGTACTTGAATGATGTAGCTATACAAAAATGTAGAAAGGCCTTTTTTTGGGGCCCGCAAAAAAAATTGTCTCAGATCGACCCGGAAAAAAATTTTCTTATAGAATGTGGCCTGTAGAATCCATAATTTCAAACGGTTCCAAGATTGGGCTACTAGTTCAAAAGTTACAGCCCTTTGAATTTTCTTTTGAAATTGGTTTCTAGTCTATAACTTTTGATTGAGAAGTCTGATCGAAAATTTACGAATTGTTTTGGATTCTACGCACCAAAATTGATAAGAAAAAGTGTTTTCCCGAGAAATTTTGGTGTAGTCAATTTTTGGTAAAAAAGGTAGGTTTATACACTGCCTTTTTTTGAGGCCCGCAAAAAAAATTGTCTCAGATCGACCCGCAAAAAAAATTTTCTTATAGAATGTGGCCTGTAATCCATAATTTCAAACAGTTCCGAGATTGGGCTACTAGTTCAAAAGTTACAGCCCTTTGAATTTTCTTTCGAAATTGGTTTCTAGTCTATAACTTTTGATTGAGAGGTCTGATCGAAAAAGTACGAATTGTTTTGGATTCTACGCACCAAAATTAATAAGAAAAAGTGTTTTCCCGAGAAATTTTAGTGTAGTCAATTTTTGGTAAAAAAGGAAGGTTATACACTGCCTTTTTTTGGGGCCCGCAAAAAAATTCTCAGATCGACCCGAAAAAAAATTTTCTTATAGAATGGGACCTGTTAGAATCCATGATTTCAAACAGTTCCAAGATTGGGCTACTAGTTGAAAAGTTACAGCCCTTTGAATTTTCTTTCGAAATTGGTTTCTAGTCCATAACTTTTGATTAAGAAGTCCGATCGAAAAAGTACGAATTGTTTTGGATTCTACGCACCAAAATTAATAAGAAAAAGTGTTTTCCCGAGAAATTTTAGTCGATTTTTTGGTAAAAAAGGAAGGTTAAGTATTCAAATACTATGCGAAGTATTTGAATACTTCTCAAAGTACCTTGCGAAGTATTCGAATACTAAATATTTGTGAAAGTATTTGAGTTACAAATACAAATACTGCTTCCATAAAAATATTTAATTACAAAGTATTTGAATCGAGATTTGAATACTTTAAAGGATTTGAATACTAAAAAGTATTTACAAAATCGAATACTGCCCTGCTCTGTCTGTATATATATATATATATATATATGCCTCTTGCAGTATTTCAGACAGTATGGCAGTTCACGGATATAAATCGAAAATACAGTAGGTCCTAATATATTGATCTAAGGTACTCCCTTATTAAGATTGTATAGCTTTTACCATGAGTTATTTATACAAACGGCTTCAGATCGATTTTCAAGGTAATGTGCATCCATCTCAGTGCGCCATAATCAAAACCGATGTATTTTAACCTCGATTTTACTGTACATATATCAGTTTATGATTAACAAGATCAAACGCTTTACTTTGATGGAGAAGTATAAGGAATGTTAATAATGAATTGTACGTTGCATAATGAATATAGTTGACGAGATTTGCCTAGTCAAACAGGTAAATAGTATAAAATGAATAGATTGCTATGAAAGTTTAGAGATTCGTAAAAACAAACGCTTCCCAATCAATAATGATGAAGGAGACTCTTTAGGTCAATTAGAGTTCGTAACTTGTAATTATTATAAATAGGGTCGTATTTGTATATTTATATTAGGTATATATGATAGTATTGCATGATATGTTTCTTATGCCCACTGACAGTGATTGACTATCTATAAAGAACGACACATATTGACTTTTTCGGCACATAAAAAGTACGTCCACAACTAGATAGTACTTAGGAGTACTTAGTGAAAAGTCCATTTCAAACATGTATTATTGCTACTCCAATAGATAATAGGTGGACAACATATCAACTTACACAATTTTTTTTACATAGAATACAATTTTAAGCTAATAACAGTGGCTATTTTTATTAAATAGAGGAGAAGGAAAATCAGCAAGCGGACAGCAATAGCGATGAGAAAGATGCGTCAGAGGAAAGCCTTCGTTTGATAACGAACAGTTCGAGCAGCAGACCAAGTTCTATTTGTTCAGAGTTTGACCAAGAACCCGTCACACGATGGGTTGATATTGTTACTTTGCCTTTAATGATGGCGTACGTAACTAGGTATATTTTTGGGACCGATAAGTTGAGACCAAATGCTTTTGAAGTAAGAGGTCTTAACGGACTGAGCACCGGAATTATTCACTGCGACGATTCAGCTGTACTTTCACAATGGCTGAAATATATTTCTGACAATATTATTGGACTTACTCACTTACAAGTAAATTGATAACCTACTAACTACTAACTTTATGTAAACGGCTGTTTTCAGATGAAACTTTACAACAGAAATTTTAGTGTATCAGATCGAATTGAGTACATGGGTTGGGTAAACGAAGGAGTTATCAACAATAATCAGCCTTGGCAGAATTATAAACCGAGGTTTTTAGCGCTTAAGGGAGCTGATTTGATGTTGTTTGATTCTCCTCCAGTAAGTACAATTGTTTTAATTGCTTCATTAAAATCGTACGTATTCCTTCAGTTAAACGTAATGGATTGGGATAAATGTCCTTTAATATTCAAAGTGTATCAAACAATGTTTCGAGTAGTAAAAGAATCGGAAAATGTGGATGAAAGACAACACTGTTTTTTGGTACAAACTTCGGGGCAAGAGTCGAGATATTTATCTGTCGAAACTCGCCAAGAATTATTACGAATTGAAAATGCTTGGCATTGTTCTGTATGTACCGCAGTGATGAAATTGGGGGTGAGAAAAACAGCTTATTAAAAAATTAATTGCTAAATTGTTTTAAATTCTTTGCAGAGCAAAACTTTTACGGTCAGTTACGGTGGCAAAACTGTAGGATTAACTTTAGACTGGAATTTAGGATTTTCTTTGCACGAAGCCGAATCGAAAATACCCGTTTGGCAGTACAAATTTTCCCAGCTTCGCGGTTCTTCGGATGATGGAAAATCGAAACTTAAGCTTCATTTCCAGGATATTGAAACGAGGGCGATCGAAACTAAGGTTTGCTTAATTTTTTCTTAAATGATACTTAAGCGTTTGTTACAGGAGTTAGAATGTTCAATTTTGCAAAGTCTATTATTTTGTATGCATGCGTTTTTGACGGCTAAGGTGGCCTCGGTTGATCCAACTTTTTTATGTTCAACGATGCCGTAAAGCTGCGAAAAGGATGCATAGGTATTTATTACTATACATTCCTTTTTTGAAACGATTCGATCTGTTGATATGCAGTAGAAATGTGATAGACTGTATCAATTGTAGGCAGATTTTCGAAAGATAAGGTACCTTTTTTCTGCGATTAGCTCCATAAGTGTTACCTTCCTCTTTTCCAATAAAAATGCCTGTACCTACAATAATTGTCGGCATTACATGTAAATCAATAATTCGTTTAAACCAATTAACTTACTTGTGCTCATGACATTTCACAGTTCGCTGCAACTGAATTTTTTATAATTTTGCGTCAGTTCGTTTAGGCTAATTTGAAATAAACTGCAAATACAAAATGCAACAAAATTAGTTAATACAAATAAATGAATAGTCAATATCTAAGATAATATTACTGTTGTAAAGTAATTAGTAGAAAATTGATTTATGGGCATGTTATCACTCAGGACAAAGAAAATTTGGACGGTTGTTAGAATCTTTATATTGTTTATGTCGTTCTTTTTTAAATTATGTGAGGGGTATTCAACCGTCAAACTTGAACCTTCATAGTAAGTACCAACTAATTTTGAACTTTTTAATAAAAAATGGAGGTTGAACTTTTTTGTCGGTTGAGAACTCCTGACGAGAAAATGAGCTCCTATGAGTTTGAAAGTTTTTTTTTCAAACATTTAGTCAATTTTGTAAACAAATATCGGGGAATTATATTTAGAGATTGTTATACAGCTGTAATACTAAATATTGCCTTGTTATTTAATGATGTAGGTATATTGTGACAGAGAACCTTTCTTCCTTATGTTTTAGGTTTTATGTTACTTGGATGACCGAACAATAACGTATTGGTCTAAAGCACAAAACCACTGTGTACGTTTTCACGATGTGTTCGCTGTTAAATATTTGTTAAAAAAACACAGTTGCAGTTTATAGTGTTACAATCTTCATGCAATAAAAAATACATAATGATGTCAGATTCATGTGGTAAAATTTGTAGCAGTTCTAGACAAAAAAGCTCAATCGCCGAGGTCTTCGGAAACCACCGCAAATGCAGTTTGTAGGATTAATAAGGAAGACCACCACTATAACAACCTAGGACCACATCTTTAATTGAATAGAGGCCTATTGCATTTTGACTTTATAGCAACTAATACTCAATTAATACGATTAATCAAAAGATAACTGCCACCATGCGACTTTTTTACATTTTCAAAATTCGGGTAAGATACTACCTCCCGTTCTTTGTCTGTGAAAAGTACCAGTACGGAACTATCAAATATGCAGAAGTTATCTACCTCTATTTTCCATTGACTATATTGTCGGGGACATTTACTTGTTAAACCCTTATTACAAGCAATTATTAAGGCGGCTAGGGACAGGCCGTTCAAAATTTGAGCTGCGCCCACGAAAATAATTACATAGGCAACCAATCGTGCGATTCGACAAGTTTCACCAGGCATAAGCTACCTGCAAATGTCGTCATCTTCCTACAATAAAACCAGATTCCAGACCCTCATTAGCGGTTATTCAACAACAAAGACAATTTAATCTCATTCATACAAAAGTAACTCATTTATGGAATTTCAACTTTCTCCCGTTTTGTGATGTTTTATTAATACTGGAAACCTTTGAATATTGAATAGGAAATCAAAGTTGAAAACGTATACCTATGTACTACTAATGAATATCCAACTCCTCTCAATGGTACTACATATACAAAAAGATTACTAATCTATTTCTTTCTAAGATAACATTCCTACTTGCTTCCTATACTATAGCCTATAGGGATTTACAATAATGACTTTTTGAGATTTGGACTTGGGTAATGAAGGGAACAATTTCCGAAACAAGACAAACTGGTCTTCAATTTTTGTGGTGCATAGCACAAATTTATTTAAACAATTGTGACATCCGATCAAACTACGGCTCCATAGATTTCTAAATTTATATGATAACGATTTTCACAGGCGCGCGGATGTAAAGAATGGTACTCTTCTTCAATTAGATGGACAGTTTTCGATATTTCGCATGGCTTCCGCAATGTAGCCCGGTATTTGCTGCGTTTTCAACCTTCTCCCATTGATCAAATTATATATCTGAATTCTGATCTAATTTACAACAAAATAAATGACTCATTTTTCATTACAAAAAATGTTTTAATAGATTTTCGGAAATTCTCCAATTCCAACACGACATTCGCCTGCTTTACGAAAATAGTTTATTTGGCTAGCCGTCAAACCTACAGTGGAATTATCGAACGCATTGGTAGATTAAAAAATTATCAAAGTCCTCGTGTGAGAAGGGAGATCAGCGCATTTTTGTGTGGCAGATCAGTATTGTATTAGCCACCATCAAGAAGATCTTGTCGCAAGCTACCATATTCCCTTTGTCGGTACCCGCTTCCGACGTCCCGTTCACCCACAATTCGCATTTAGATGAATTTTGCTAAAAACCCTCCACAAAATAGTTCTCATTTTTTGGGGCAATTCTCATAGCTCTATTAGCGACACGAGAAAGAGACATCGCGATTCGAGCTTTCAGAAACAAAATTCGCAGAGGAAGATACCTTTTGGGCACCCTAAGTCAACTACCCCTCGCAGACGTGCGCCTTGTAAAATGAGGTTAATTTCGTACCCAGGAAAAAAACAAATTTTCGCCACGCAGTTGTTGTGTCCGTTTACAAGATCTTTCCAACGGCACCAATTTGAAAACAATCTGAAAACTGATGGTGGAGTAAAAACTTCAAACGCAAATTGGGGATGCACGAGACGTCGGAAGCGGGTACCGACGAAGGGAATGTGGTAGCCTTCGACAAGATCTCACACGAGGACTTTGACAATTTTTTACTAACGACATGCTGAAATAAAAAATTATCACTTGTAATACTACTAGTGCTTGCTATTTCCGGAAACTTTCCGAGCTCACAAATATTTGACCTTTGGCAAAATATTCGTGAGCAAGAAAAAATTTTATATTATTCAAGCACGTGTGGTATTCGGTAAGAAAATTTCACACCATAGTGACCCTCAACGAAAAAGTGACGTTTTATATCAAAACATTGTTACCTTTTTACGTAAAAAAATTGCCGATAAAACGTTGTTACTCCTGAATATTACATTTATTGACGTACATACAATATTTTTTTAATTATCCGTTAATTATCGTTGGTACTAATAGACGAATAAATGGAAGGCATTGAGAGTCTTTTGTTACTGGTCTAATAGGGTCATAAACCATTGTATATAGGTATAATGGTCATTAGGTGTTAATATTGTTCAGGTAAAGTTCTACCTGAGTTGCCTATCGTCATTGTATGGAAGGTATTGCATTTCTTCCGTCGCTATACTTTATATAAACTTTTGAGTAAAAATTACATTTTATTTCAAAATTTGAAGCAGTTCGTAATATATTTTTTTAATCCACTTAGTTACTAAATAAATTGTGCGGATTTACTTTTTAAATATTTTTTTTACTAAGGCCAGTATTCGCGTTCTTAATAAATTCAAGATTATCATTTATACACGACTTAAATAATTTTATCAAAAAAATAAATCGCTACATTTAATGACTTTCTATATCTCTATCAATTTCCGATAAGACCTCTAGTTAGAATTACTATTTGGGCTTCAAAAATTACTCAAAAGTTTCGACTTTTATTGCAAATTTCAGTGACCATTGTGTGTTGCCTATCCTCTATCCCTAGCACCCTTAAGCGCCAGAGCAAAGCGATGTAAGCTTTATAGGGGAGTCGACGGTGTCCGTCTGTACGTCCGTGAACACGATAACTGTCAAACGCTTGGATCGATTTGGTTCAAATTAACTTTCCACAGTTGACCATATGCCACAAGTCCAATGACCCCTTGGGGATTCGGACACGCCGTGTCGTCAATCCCGTTACGTCATTATGCTTTAGCGTAGAAAATTTTACTCATTTATTAGTGGAGTGTTTCTAAGAATGAGCGAAAAACAAGGAGGTGCATTTTGGAAACGACAAAAGTTAGAAAAACAACAAAAATTAAATGAAGTATTACAAAAAATTACAAAAGTCCTCGTATGTGCATCGATGAGACTTCAGCGCATTTTTGGCGTGACGGATCAGTATTGCATTAGCAATCAGTATTTTATCAGAAAATTTTAATTATAAAATAAGGTTTATGCAAACATATATTTCTTTATTAATTTTCACGAACTCTAATAATAATTGGACGATGGTATGAACAGTACGACTCGTAAACCGAACAATCAACAGTGTAGTTGACCATTTTGCCAAAAACTCCGTCAATTATTGTTCCGCCATTCGTTGTCACTGTTCGGGGAGAGATGATCACTATATTGAATTTCTCTTGAAGAAATTTCTCTACCCGATTTCCGACAGTTAATGGGAAATTAAAGTCTCCCATAATCAAGACGTCTTGCCTCAATGAAATCCCCGATCTCCGATAACGCTGCAATCAACAAGTTGTTGCCTTTACTAGGAGCATCAGTGGTTCAAATTTCAAAGAAATATCTCCATAAATAAGAAAGTTGGCATTGCGCAGTCACTGCGCATGCCTACACATAATTTTTACTATTTGCGAAATGTTTGCCTTTACTAGAAGCATCTGTGGTTCCAATTTCAAAGAAATATCTCCATAAATAGGAAAGTTGGCATTGCGCAGTCCCATTCCGCAGGGACTGGGCATGCGCACACATAATTTTTAGTATGTGCGCAATGTTTGCCTTTACTAGAAGCATCTGTGGTTAAAATTTCAAAGAAAAATCTCAGTAAATAGGAAAGTTCGCATTGCGCAGTCACTGCGCATGTCTACATAATTTTTACTATGTGTGAAATGTTTGCCTTTACTAGAAGCATCTGTGGTTAAAATTTCAAAGAAATATCTCCATAAATAAGAAAGTTGGCAATGCGCAGTCTGCGCAAAATAGAGAGTGCAATAAAACTGTCTGAAATGGGCAAATATAGACCATAGCATCTATCAATTAGCGAAAACCCGAAGTCTCTAGGTGTCCCAGGGGCCGAGATCTCGATGGAACGGACGGACGGACGGGCGGACGGACAGACGGAAACACGAGCACATAAGCGCTACCTCAACTTCATTGTGTTACGCTAAAAACCGCTCAGACCTGGATACGATATTTTTAACCAAAATTATACCACAAACTGTAAAACTCATCACCGTGTTATGATTTTGATTAGTTTTCACCTTGAAGTAGTTATCCTAGATAAGTCATATTAGTGACCGTAGTTAGGCAATGCCAAAAGTATATTTTATAAAAAAGCCATTCCTCTACGTCAATCGGATCGGCTTAAAATCGATATACGCACGGACAAGTTTTCAAGCGGCGTTAGTTATTTCGCAAATTCTAATTAAACGCAACCACTACGGGCTTAATGAATGTCCATTGCGCCAATAACTCGACAAGACGGAGATAATGCAAAAAACCGGACCTCTCTACGATGTCTAGATCAAAAGTTTTTCAATCCGCCCAGCCAGCCAGCCAGCCAGCCAGCCGGACAAAGTGAAATGATAAGCTCCTTTTTGTTACCAAAAATGCGCTAAAAACACCAAGATTCAGCTTTTTTTCCTACCTACTGGCGGTATAGTATGACTTAGCCCCCGGCGGCGGTTCATGAACTAAATCCGGCACTGATGGTATATTTCCGTTTAGTGAATCATTTTTGGATCTAGAAATAGCATCTGAATCCATACAAATACCTGGCTTTAATATCGTACGGGCAGTTTTGAAGTTGAGTAGGTACATATCACATAATTTGATTGACCAAGTGTGGATTAAACTTGATTTGGGCAGCAAAAGATTGGTTTGGGGGTGTGCTACAATCCCAATAGGCCGTTCTATAGGAGTTTTTTGGGTGAATTTGAAGATACAATTTCTAATTTATTACCTTGCGTCGATTAGGTATGCTGTTATCTGCGATCTGCACGTAAATCTTTAGAAATGACTAATGTTACTGAATTT